GAACATAATACTTCGATTGCAAACAGTAAACTTTTCAATAGACTTATGCGTAGTAGATAAATATAATCATGAATTGCAAACATTTTCTGACTGCTGATCGATTCTGATCGAAAGATAAACTCACGAGCTTGCTGGGAATCTTAATAAAAAATTGAGTAAATATACATACAAGTATATACCAACAAAACGGACGCAAGCAAAACAAAAAAAAATTCGCAGTAGGTACATAATATTTGGGAAAGTGCTGCAGAAGAGCAGCAACTACTCCTAAATGTTTGCTTCTTTTTTCTATTTCTTTCGTTATCTGTATATTGGTAAAGATTACTTGTAATGAATATCTACATGCGGAAAAGATTTCTCTTCTGAGTCATTAGGAAGAAACAAAATGACACATATAAATAAATGAGTACAAAATAAACATAGAAAACATCCGCGGTCCATATATCGTAAATTATTTTTGGCTTTAACGTATCGTTATTCATATTAATGTTGTTGATCTTTACTATAAATTCAAGCTATTGGTATGAATTTCCTTTCATAACCACATATAATAAGTAACATCGTGCTGATGTTGATTGATCTATTGTTAAATCGAAAATGCAAAAATGATTCGATTCTGCAAGTAAATACATAGCGAAATAGTAAAAGACTCAATTAAATTTTTGGCATTCCCGTAATACAGTTAACTGCTGATATTTTTTGCTATTCTTTTAATCGTTTGGTAAATGAACGTTCAACTCAATGAGGTGAGATTATCAAAGCAGCCGCCGAAGAGTAAATTAATTTTGGTCTACCGTTGCTGATGTGAACAAAGGCTCTGCCATAGAACGGAACCTTATGTAAGGAACTTAAGCGCGTAATCGGTTTTAAAATATTAAATATTAAAAGCAATCACTGGTTATTTGTTACTTGTAAAAGGAAAATTCGGCAATAGTCACAAAGGAAGAGACACACAGAGTGTGCAGAAAAGATTTAAAGAATGCTTTCAAAAAATATTCTGTTCCCCTCGAAAAACTTTAGGTTGTAATTAGAAAATTAGATTGGAAAACTATACTTGAAGATTGATTTTTATATGCAAATCTGCTCTAGTAAACAACTTCTACTAAGTTTCAAAAAATGTCCAAGAAATGATTAAAAAAATCATATTCTCGAAATCTCGAGTCGGGTTGTTCCAAAATTATTTGGATACTCCTGTTATTATTGTACATATATTTCTTATTTCATGTTCAAATTTAATCTCTGAGATCGACTCACGATCACGTTTTAAAAGCTTAAGGTCTATATTTCAATATGTAACTTTTTAATGGTAAGACCGATCGCTGCAGAATTTTTCGGTCATTAAAAGGGTTTGTAAATTGCAAAATTGCTGGTGAGCCTCTTTAGCTGAAATATAAATGAAATGATTGTTTAAGTATATTTCCAAATTAGATTGAAAACAAACAAAGCAGAACTTTTTTACTATTGCCTGTGAGGCATGTTATTTAGAACAAACGGTTGTTTCTTTAAAAGGTTGGTCGAATAAAATTGTGTGTAGTAACATATAAAAGGAAGACTAATGAAAATTCCGGCTAAACCAAATATGATCGTTTCCTCTCCTTCTATCTCTTCCTCTGCAAGTTTGCTTTTGTGCTTTTTTATTACTTATGTTGAAACTAAATTAAGATATTGTGGGTGTTTACTGCCAACCTTTCCCTTTATCCAAATAGAGTAAAAGAAAAAATAGATTAAAAAGAGCTACAAACTGGTTTTAAACTTTATAAACTATTCAAATTTTCCTGTTCGTGTATTTTGCTATTATATTATATATAAATTGCATACATACAAACGTTACATACATTCTTTGAATACACATGCATACATATATAAATATATACGCGATTTTGTGTATGTCCTCCTTTATTGACCCTTGAATTATGAATTATTCGTATTATAAATTTAATTATTTATGGAAACAGTAAAAATAAATAAATAAACAAATTCGCAAAAAATTATTTATCTTTTCTTTTATGCTTGCTTAGGAATTTTGGCCAGTCTCAGCGCAATAGGGAGAGAGAGAACATTACACAGTTCACATTATTGACATTTGACCCGTATATGTCGCTGAACATTGTATTTATCTACAGACATCCCATCGAGACGGTTTAGCGTTGTAACTATGTAAAAAAAGAGAGAATAAAAATGCACACCACAATTTTTTTCGGCTCAAGCTTATTATGGGAATTATTTGAAGAAAAAACTTTCTGCAGCTACCTACCCACAAGTTGATAGTTTTGTATACACACTTCAAAAATAATTAACAACAAACTATTATAAGATTGAAACGCATAGGTCTGTATATATAAATTTAATATAAGTTCCGGTTTAATTAAAAGGTTTTCTTCATTAGGCTTGTAATTCGGATGTCAGTACCATGAATGTGATATTGTGTGGAATTTTTATTTTAAAAGTGCACGCTTTGCGAAAATCAATGCAAATTTGATCTCTTCAAAAAAAATCGAATTGTCAAGTTTCTAAGAAAGAAAATTGGTCGACGCCTATTCTTAACAATTGCAATGGACATTAATCTATAAATCAACAAACTGAATAATCTGAAACTTCTGACAAATCCTGTTAGTTGTATCATTAACTTAATAAGGAGAACATTACTCCTAATATTCGAAATTAGAAATTCCTTTGAACACAACAATATAAGTTTGTCAATAGTTAACAAAAAAATTTTAAATTCATTATTTATCACTTATATCGAAAAGTTTATTCCATAGAATTCTAAATTAATGTTGCAAAAATTTTTGCCTGCGATTTCTACAGGTAAAAACGATAAAGAAATGGGAAATGCCAGTGTACCTAACAACTAAATTTGATGATTTTGAAATAAAAGTTTCCCAATTAATATTATTCAGTTATTCAGCTTATGCCCGCACGCGTGAAGCGTTCAAAATTGCATTTTGGACGTTCGTTACTTTCGTTATATAATTTGAAGAAACCTGCCGTCGAAGCCCACCAAACAAGGTCACAAGTTTATGGTGATGCTGCTCCATCATATCGGAATGGTCAATTTTGGTTTAAAAGTGGTGAATTTGATGTCAATGGCAAAAAACGGCCTGGAGGACAAATAATCTCGACGGCAATGAATTGCAAGGACTTATTGGACGAAAACGCAGCTCAAACTTTCAAAGAACTTTCGAACAGCTTAGTGCGAAAATGGGTCGGTGGTTGGATCGCTGCCAAATTAATAAAACTTCTTTCGACACAATATCGCAATGTTGCCAGAAATATGGTAAAATGTACAAAATATTTTGATTAATATACATTGTACCAATTTTTCTCAATAAATCCCTTTTTCAAATGAAAAATTTGCCAACATTTTTGCAAGCACCTATTAATATCGCTAGTGGAATTTCGATTGCAATAACTTAGTTTCTTGCCGGCTAGAAAGGATGCTTTCTTATAAAACCATTTCATTCAATTCTTTCAATTTACCTCACAAGTACGTCATAATGAACAAGATGTAATGGATAAACTCACATTATTATTTCTCTTCTTCATTGTTTTCTCTTTTGCGCCCTCATCTTTTCAAAATGATTTCAGTTTTGTTTGCTTATCAGAATCAAAATTAAACCGAGCCTAGTAGAGTTACTGTCAAGAAATCTTGGTAAAATTCTTAATTGGCAATCGTCCTTGAAGGAGTACTCTCTTCTCTTATGTAATGATGTAACTTGCCCCATGTATAAATAAAGATAGAAATTGGAAAAAATATTTCATGAAGTCATTACCTGAAAAGAAAGATAAGTTAATAGGCTGCGTTTGCGAAATGGTCCTGCCCTGTACATATAAGAAAGGAACATAAGAAACGACTTAATGACCCAATATCGCTAAAATTCGTGAAAAATCGTGAAATATAGTTGGTAGCCCTAGTAGATGGAATAACGATTCTAATTAAAATTCATAGCATGCACTGCAAGCCTTTGGTGTCCAATGTTGCTCACATAAAACTGCAAAAATTATGAATATAAACGCAAACGTTGCGTTTCACAGACGCATTTATTGCTCTCGCTTGTATAATTTTAAAAGTTTTACAAAACAAAAGAAAGTATTATTGGTGGTTAATTGTTGTAAGAATGATGACTGTCCCTTAAGCCGTTTTCAGGTAACACGAAAACAAAAAAAAAAAAACAAAGAACAATTTTTGTTCTTCTTTATTGTTATCAGGAAAATTAGTGCGTTTAATAGTATGAGATATCTTTGCTAAAATAACGTAAATCGTGATATTTACGATTTCTTATAATATAATAGACATTGCAAATCTCAAAGAAGTTGTATGTCCGTATATATATGTATGCATGTCCATCCGTTTACATTGCCACTGGTATTAAGTTACGCACATGTAGACCAACCGCAGACATTTCTATATACAATCCAAACACATTTACTTACATACACCAAATATTTATAAAATCAATCAAACAAGACATATTAACGTCACCAGCGCATTTGAAGTGTCGTCGGTGTTAAAAGAGATAAGACAAAAAATTAATATATAAAAGTTTCAAAGCCAGTTAAAATAGTTCTTAAAAGCACGTTTGTTAACGTAATTTCCTTTATTATTATATATTTATGTATATTTTTTTACGTCTTAATATTGCGTGAGTCTGATTGCCGTATTGTGACATAACAAAAAGTTTATTGACACACTTAGTTAATGCGGTTAGAAAAATAGGTAGGTATATACCGATATATATGAATACAAGCACATATATTATAGTGTGAATAATTTTTTCTTCTACGATCTACTGCAGAAAATCCTTCATCTAACGATAGTGAAAATCCTCAGTACATTTAATGCATAGATGTTTTCCTTATATATGTAAATATATAAATATATATATATAGAAATATATAAGGTTTTATGTACTTATTTCAGCTCGTATATAAACATTAAAAGCATTTCTTCGGCAACCAACATGTTGCAAATCAAGCGCCAAGTTTCAAATAAACTGGTTAGTTAACCATACAGCTAACATCAAACTCAGTACGTACCAAACATCCAAATGTGTTACTGTGATGGCCAAGAATACTTGAGTTAGTCGTCGAAGTCGTCGAAGTTTAAGCAACGTGAGTGGATGTGTTTTCTTGTCATAACGCTGTTAATAATTGGCAAGCATATTTTATTTGGTAACAAGCAAACAAATCAATCAAAGTTACTTGAACATAGAAAAAAAAATCCGCAGACTGTCTATTGAAATACAAGCGTGTAAGCGTTTGTCTTTCTCTCTAGTTGCCGCGGTTGGACACATAGTGGAAGGATGTTTATTTTTTGGTTTTTAAAATCAGTGGATTAAAAATCAAACATAAAAGCAAACAATCGAGTTACATAGGGTAAGCATGCGCGCATCACCAACAAGCATCAGCGATCAAACCATGTACTGAAAAGATTGTGTCTGCGCCTATTGTGCTGCCTGTGTGTTTTGCTGCATAAATGCATTGCCCGATGTGGATCAGTTAGTTAGGCATGGTCCGTCAAGAAAGACGGTCGATGGCTATCAGTGCGTCGTCAAGAATGTGTGTCGTCATAAAAAAGACGAGGCGTACGCGGTACTTATTTCACGGGATGCTAATGGTGATCTGCGTATTGCAAGTACAACATATTGCATTTGCCTATGAAACGGAAATAGCCAATATGGGCCAGAGAGCCCATCAACCGAAATTCGGTGAACGTCTGTTACCGTTACGTAAAACGAATGTGAATTTTCATGGTAGCCTTAACGTGGGTACTAATAAATCGGGCGTGAGTTCAAGAGCTGCGACTAACGCGGAAAGAAATGTATATAGTTTATTACATAAAAGCAATTATTTAGTGAGTCAAGAAAAACACGAGAAAGCAAGGCGACGCATTGAGGCAGTAAATAACATTAGTCAAGATTCTGAAACTTTTACTTTGCCCATGTCTACTATAGATGATACCTACGATACAATAACGACTATGCCAAGTAAGCGAGAAGCAAAGCAGTTGAACCGGCGAGAAGACGCTAACGTTGTTGATATGGTAGCTGTGCTGGTAAGCAACATATCGAAAGCTGATCGTTTAGTGGAAATGTCCACCGAATTTTTTATAGTGCCAACGAGTTCACCAGCTTTATCACTATCCAGTTCGTCGGCTGCTTCGCGGGTGATTGGCTCAAAAGCTCGTGGTTTGCAAAATTTTATACAGCCCACCGTTCAATCACCGGATAATCCGAGATCGGTGATAATAGTAGCTACGAAAAACTCAGCTAGTGTTAATAGCTCGACCACACAGCCTACGATAGTGTCGACACACCCAAACTTTGCGGGCCTACGTAAAGAACCTTGGGTTGTGCCAGTGCTGGTTTTGGCAGCACTTACCATGTTCATGATGGTGGCATTTGAGATATTCGTGCTGTTCAAGGCCTGGCGAACTTCACCATCACGTCGGCATGTTTTTTTAGGTCAAATGTTGCTGCTCGGCTTATTTGCTTGTGCTGGCTTGGGTGCTCTAATAACCGCTCAACCGTCGTTATTGAGCTGCGGTACCGTACGCTTTGGCGTCGGTGTAGCATACGCTTTGGTTTTTGCGGCTTTGTTGGTAAAATGTGTTTTCCTGATTAGCCTGAATGGCGGCGTTTATTTGCCAGCCCCATATTTGGGCCTGTTGCTATTGTTTGCAGTGCTTATACAAGTAGTTATAGGCACGCAGTGGTTAATAACACAACCTCCGGAAATTTACACGCAGAGTGTGCCCGCAGTTAGCAGCAGCATGTTAGCATCTACGATGGCTTCACATTCTGAGCGCAGCTCAAGTCCACACTTTACCTCTGTATTTCACAATGCGGCAAACAATGTCGACGTCTACGCCCGGGTATCATCCACCGGAACAGTTTTAATACCTTTATGTAAAACGCAATATTCCGAGCTTTTATTTTCGCTTATTTACATTATATTTCTGATAATATTCGTGGCTGTGTTAGCCATCAAGTCAAGAGGAATACGTGATAATTACCGTGAAGCTCCTTACATAGGTTTAGCTATAGGTGGTGCTATACCTATCTGGTTGGGTTGGATGTTGTGTGGTTTAGCTGTCGCCGAACGTCACAAAGACGCTTGCATAGCATTTGGTTTAGTGGCCACTTCTGCCACTGTATTTCTGGTAATGTTTATGCCAAAGGGACGTCAACTGGCTGCTATGGGCAAAGAAGGTCTCTACGTAGAGGATCGAGATGAACAATTTAGTTCAATCAGTCGTGGCGGTTCTGGTTATTCTCCATCGTTCTTTCACTTTAAACCTATTAAATACGGAGTAATGGGCGGTGGAGGAGCGGCATTCCAAAATTCAACATCAACAACAGCAGGGAATGCGGCAAATTTTAAACATGTATCAAACGGGCTAAATTCAGGAGGTAAGCAAAAGATTAATTAAATTTAGGGAACAGGAAATTTAATAAATCAATAAAATAAGTAAAAGATAATGAGTAAGCGTTGGTTAGTTAAAAAATAAAAAGGCGTAAACAACAAACTTTTATTAAAACAATAATTTCATCAATTCAATTGCATTTCAGGCTTATAAGGCTATATTTTGTTAGATTCACTTGGAGTTTGCTTTGACACAACAATTTCAAAATTTATCACCTTTATGTCTTAACGTATTTTCTCGTTCGTTTCTAAAGCCCAAAACAAAACAATGATTTAGCATGTTTGTGCACGTTTGAGTGCACATGAGTAAAAGTGCTGTATATTGTGTTTGGTTATAAATATTGCGTGTGTGTATGTGTGCCTATGTGTGCTTGGCCAAGTAACGCTGCCACCATTGTTGTACATTTGCAAAGACTTATGCAGATCATTTTTAATTTTTTTTCACTTTCATTGTCTAAAGAGAAAACTTAAGCAACAGCACAGTTTCATGGATTACACATAAGCCCGATTAGTATATAGCAGATTTTGAATTCCATGTCATTACAAATAATATTAACTTTTCATAATTTAACACGTATTTGCATGCAAATTTGCATGGAATTTCGTTTGAAATAAATAATAAAAATTTAATAATAAGAAAAAGCATCGAAAAAAACAAAATATGAAATGTGAAATATAAAGCAATAAATAGAAAAGAAACAAAAGAAAAAAAAGAAACACTACAAAATTTTATGGTCGCCTTATGTTAGTACCCCGTCGCTTTTCTTATCTTTTTTGTTTTTTTTTTTTGTTTTTGTTATTTGAGTCCAAAACAGTGCTTAATTGCTTCGTTAGTTGACATTGAAAGCAAAACATAAAAAGTGTCTATTGAGAGTATCCATCTAATGAGTTTTTTAACCTAAACCGTTTTCCTCTTCGGTATAATAATAATTAATAAATGTTGAATAAGTGTTTTGAAGGGGTTGCGAGGAAAAGAGAAATGAATTTTTTTTTCATTCGTTAAATATATCATACAATTATATAAGCATGTCATTATTAAATGCTTGTAAAGGCTTTTCAAAGGTAATAATTTCATGCTTTCACTAATTGATTACTGCACCTATGAATCCATAGCAACTATGAATCAAATATTGCAAGTATTGCCAGACCATTCATTATCTGGCCTCATAATTAATTGCAACGCACGATTTTCATCATTTTATATAATATGTGAAAGTATTGCACGTTTTTCCTATAATAATTCAAGTATTTATAACGTTAATGATATGGAAAATGTACTCGATGTATAATAATGTTATGTACACACTTACACTACATGTTATATGCGTAAGAATTATATAATAAGTGTAAAAGTAAAAATGTAAACACAGCACTTATATGTGTGTTAAGATATGCTTATGTATGAGTAACAAGAAGTAATTGAAATGATTTACCAAAGCTAGGACGTTAAAAAAGCATAAAAGTTAACTGAAATTTATGTTAAAAAAAAATTTATATTGTTTTCAAGTCGCGGTTGTGGTGCGAACCAACTGTCTACGAAGAAGATATTCGACAAGGAAGTGTATTTCATTAAAAAGCAGCCCCCGCTCTTGCTCTACATAAATTTAAACTTATTTCAATGCAAGTGAAGTGCTGTAAGCAATGCTCTTGAATGTATAAAATGTATACACAAAGGTATAGAGGAAAGGGTATCAAGAGTCTCAATGAAACTGTGAATTCATTTGTTATTTTTCTTTCTTTATATTAAAAGAAATTATTTAACTTATGATTATTTATACGTAGTTTGTTACCTTCGTAAGTCTTTGCTGGTATTATTGTTGCTTATGAGAGAGATTACAACATGTTCAGCATGCATGAAATCATTTTTTAACATTTTTTGCTGTTCTTAACACAAGCATAGCTACTGAAAGGGATAGACTAAGCATGAGGAGTTCTTAATCTTGTTCTCAAAGTATTTTAATGAAAAAACAATATATATATATATATATATATATATATATATATATTTTTTTTTTTTTTTTTATTGTGATTTTTTAAACAAAATGGAAAATAGTTTTCATTCAATTATTTGTTTAGCATTGTCATAAATCCCGAATGTAATTTCAGCGTAGCTTAACCTGTTATAACATTACATAATATATAATGCGACTCTGTATTAATTTGAAAGGATTCGTAAATAGCGTTAATACTTATCTCTTATGGGATCTTGTTATTCCAACCCCACATCCATATATATATGTATATATCTTTTTTTATAACAGGTACGCTTCTTGAGTTTGAATATTATATTACAAACATGAAAGAACGATTTGCTACGCTATGAAAATATGAACAGTAAGAAATCATAAGAGAAATCCGATCATCGCTTAATAACGCCGGCGAAATTGAATATCTTTGACTAAAAGCCCTTCCTCTGTATTCAACTGGAATTTTCTATTCCAGTCGACTGTCTATCCATTAAACATTATTTGTATAGGTTAGGATTTGTTTCAGCCAGTTCAGATTTGTGTATCTCTCATAGTACCAAGGAATGGATTATTTTGCTGTTAGCCTTGAGAGACAAGTTGTGTTTTGAATTTGCATTTCTGCCAACAAAGTAATAGCTAACGAATGCGTAATATACTCAATCATTTTGAATTTCCGACCATTCACCGTCATACTAATCACCATAATACGATTTTATGGTTTTGCAAGAGATCCTTTTAAATTATTGAACATTTACAATAATATGTCGTACTTATACTCTTTGCTTGATATTTCTTTGATAGCCATCAATACTCAGTGAATTTGCAAATATAGTATAAATTGGTCAACGTTACGTGTCATAAAATTTCATTTCAAATTTATTTACAACAAAATAAATGGTAAAGGAAACGCTTAAATGGTATTCGACGACTGTTAATTGAAAGTGTGTGAGTTAGCTGACATATTAAGTCCATCAAATATATTGAATATTGGACTGAAAATCTGACATTCAGCAGGCTGGGAGTAAGATGAGTGATACGTTAGTTGTGATAACATGGAACAGAAACTACATCGCGAGGATCTTTAAATCGAATAGTCGCTGATGTTTTATAGGAAAATGGCTTTCTTTCTGGTTCGATTCGTAACTATGGGCCTATTTCTTCACATCTGAGACGAAGGAACTAAGATCGAAATCCATAAACTACAAGAGGAGAATCAAGCCAAACGAAAACAAAGATAGTTCCATCTGTTCATAAAGTAATCGGTAATAATTTTTTTTTATTACCTTCAGAAAGCAAAAACAATCGGTGCTAAGATTTAATCGAAGTTATTGTAGAGTTTGGGTAATCAAGCTAAGAAAACCTAACCACAATTGATGAAAAAGATAGTTTTATTTCATCAAGACAATTCAATGCAGTTCACACCATTAATACCTTACCTAAGATGAAAGTTCAAATTGCTTCTACAGGTATTTACTTGGATAGGTTTCGCATTCTTAAGTAATTTTCCAACTTTGCAACTTTGAAAACGTCGCATGTTGATAAAAAATGTCGTCAAAAATTAAGAGTTGTAGTCTATTCTTGAAGGCTATTGCGATGAGGAGCTCGACTTGTTTCGCTTTAAATAGGTTATCAAAACAACTGCACACCGCTAAAAAAAGTGTATGGAGCAAAAGAGCGGTCATATTTCTTCCAAGATTATTGCTCTTATTTCTCTATGCGATCAGTTATGCAGTAAATATAGGGACGGACAGGCGAACATGATTAAATAGATTTTGCTACTTGCGCCGATCAAATATGTCTACATTTTATGTTTTCTCAGTTGCATATTCTGTTGGGCTTACACGCATTTCATGTAAACTAGAAAATTGCAAAAAAAGAGGGAAAAACTTAAAGCGAAACCAAAATGAGGACGAAGACTAAAACGAAACATGATTGAAATGATGCTTTCTTTTAAATAACCTGAAACTGAATTAACGCAAAGCATTGAAAATAATTAGTGACCGTAAAATTACAATAATTACTTATTTTCTTTGCGTTGCACTCGTACTTAGCTAAAGAGAAAGACGTTGTAGTGCGTTAGCCTTATATTGTTTTTAACATAACGTAAAAACAAATTAAAAATAAAATAAAAAAAAATGTTTTCTTTTTCATTCAGTCAATGTAGAGAAAAAGTAAAAATCTCATTAAAATTTCTGTTTATGCATCTATATGTGTGTGTATGACGTGTGTTTGTGTGACTGTGTTTATATCTGAGAGAAATTTATAATATATTTTTAAACAATGTGCGCACATAATTAATCGTGCAAGCGCACGCACACATATAATAGTGGCCACGTTGAAATGCAGTGTGAATGAGAAGTTTCGAGTACACATATACATTAAACGGACATATGTATGCGTGATTGTAAGTGTGTGTCTTGAATGCATCAAATTTTGTAAGTAGTCGTTAAGATCTTTGTTCTCTTGTGTTCTCAGTAAGAGGGAAGGCCGTATACGTGATAGCGTATCGATATGAGGTGAATTACTCAATTTAACAATCAATGACTTTCTTTGGCTTTCTTTGCGAGCAAGGTTAACGTATCAGTTACCTACCAACCATTAAGGATAAATCTTATGCGTCTTATAGAGAAAGCGGTAAATTATTTACAGCCAATATTTGTCTAATGTCTGCATAATTCTTCTTGGAAAAAATTAGGTTCTTGATTAAAGAACAAAAAAACGATTAAAAACCGAACGAATGAGTTTGAAAGAAAATTCGACTAACCGTAAAAGAAAAAATTTCTATTAAACGTTTTAGGTCAACTAAGGTATTAAAGCTCGTTCATATGTTAACTCTGCTTAAACTAAAATAAGTAAGTAATGTCTAAAAACACACATACATGCACATGCGAAAACACACGCGCACGTGCATAAAGGTATATATGTAAATAATTTCAACTGCCACCATACATAGCATACGAAGAATGTAAAATATTGTAAAATGTAAAAAATTACCATTCAGGCAATTTTTATAACAAATT